CTCAAGCAACACCCCCGATCCGAGTCCAGAGAAACACCGCAAGCAAAGGTAAATTCATATGTTTTCTGATACATTTTAGGCCCTTTTTTGCTTTCTGCTTTTTTGCAAAAATGTAATTATATATGCACCTCTGGGTAAAAAAGCAGAAAGGCTGAAGTTCAGCATGCTGTGTTAGAGATACACGATTCATGAGACAACTGTATTCCAATGACAGTGAACAGCTTACCCTCCACCGAATATGATTGCTTTATGCTACATTGACATTTCGACCGTCGCTCTCGTTGATTTACATATTATTTAGGAGCCCTTAAGCCTTATACGCAGTCCGCAGGTAGCCACTGCACACAACTGGACCAATTGCGGTGTCCAAGTTATCACGTCAGTTGTCAACCCTCCAAGTTACGGCTTTTAGCGCACTGCGATAGCTTCTAGCGCATCACATTATTTAAAGGGGGAAAGAAATGCGCAGCGAGTCGACCTAACTCTCTCCTTACCTCACTGCGAGAAACAGGCTATCGCCTACTTGATCGGCCGAGTGAGATGGGCCATAATACAGTCATGGTTTGATTTTCGACATGTGGACATGTTATCTTCTGAAGTCTTATCATCACCCGTGTTGAAGATGAGCACGATAAACTTTCGGCCATCCTACGCATTTGACTGAGCGTTATAAAGTACTTTCGTCTACGCGCTGCTCTAATGGCGGATTTTCCTGTCTAAAATGAGTTTCTGCGGCAAATTCCGTGTCTGGTAGATTACTGCAGTAGCTGCCCATAAAGCATGACTAAAGCAACTCACATCTCGCCAGCATATGTGGACCACCAAATACCAGTCAATCAACTTCAGGATGCGAATTAACTATGTCGGCGTTAACCTGGTCACATTAAGACAGCTATATAGAGTTTTGTAGAGATAAGGTCTTCTTGTAGGCAGCATGAGCTTTTGCTTACTTGTCAGGTATGTTTTTGTTCAGAAAACCGCGGTACCGCGGCTCTGTCTTCTCAATCCTCAATCATATCGGTGCATTTGTCTCACATTTTGTTAATGATGAATATCGTTCATAAGTAAATCGAAGTTGCTGGTAGCTTTGTTGTTTACGGAGTATGAATTTCTATTTTCGTTAAATTCCGCCTACATATGTGCCCCGAAGAAGATTGGACGTGAGAAAGTATTTTTTTATCTAATCGGGTCGTGGACCCGTGGAATAACCTACTAGATGCGATTGTTTTGTCCTAATTTCTGGAAACATTCAAATGCAGTCTTGATTTACATATGTTACATCACAACGTGAAGTACGTGGCAAATTAACGTTGAATAACCACTACACCGTGTGCCGAAAAACTGTTACTAGTGTTTCTAATTCTTCAGACTTTGATGAGACAAATAGGCAGTTCAAAGGCGCAAGCCAATTTTTTCCTCAAATATACTGACTGGCTGAGCTGAACGAGGTATCGGATATATTCTACACGAATCTTTGAGGGATGCTGGCCGGAGTAAAAAGGAACGCACTAGCACCAGTGTCAACGAGAGCCTGAAGGTCATGGTCCTCAACAGACTAAAAGAGATCCAACCTTTTCCAAAATGGACAGAAAATATTTGCTGAGGTGTTTGCGAAACGATGGCTATCTGAAGGCCGAGGTCGGGGGACTCCTAGAAATTGTCGAATTGGCGTCTCTGTTGAAAAGCCATAGGGAGGTCAGATGGGGGTTGAATCAAAAAGATCTGGTCAAGGACGACTTTTACTTTTTGAAACTGTACATACTGATGGCATTTGAGGTTTTAAAGAGGTAAATTCGTGGGAGTTTGACTTTTCCATGATAAAAAAATCCTTTTCGGTTGTTAGAAAATATTAAAGTAAGCTGTACTTAGAGACATCAAAAAGAGTTAAGGATTTGTCATTCGTATAAGACTGGAGAAGCCTTAAATATAATTTTTATTTTAGGAAACAAGAGGAAGAACTAAGGAAGCTGAAGAAGAAATCCGAAAAGGTACGGCAGATCATTAAGGAAGAACTTCAGTACAATAGAGAGGTAAGAGTTCCTTTGTTTCGAGACTTTTAGAGCCTAATTGGCAATGGAACTTCCGGCATAATATACAGGGGATTTTACCGAGGCAATGTAGTTGCGATTAAAAGGCTGTTTAACCAGGATGACACATTATCCCGCTATCGTGAGCTAAAATACCTGCAGGAATGCCATTGCCCGAACATTGTTGAGATTGTCGGCGCTGGACCGGACCCTGCAGGTGGATCTCTTGAGTATATCGTTATTGAATATGCCTCGGATACCTCCTTAGATAAACGTAAGTTTGTCGTTTATTACTTATCGAGATTTCCATTGAAAAGAACATGAATCCGTGTGTTAAAAGCCGTACTAACCAGTTTAATTTTTTTGCATTTTAATAGTCCTTACTGCACGCTTCGACGGAAGAAACGGTAAACCCTGGCAAGTAGAGTACACAATGTCACACGCATTCCTGTGGTTTTTACACGCATCAAACGCTCTGGAATACCTCCACAACGATTTCGATCCACCAAAGATCCATCGTGACATTAAACCAAAGAATATGCTCCTTTTTGACGACTGTCGTTTACTAAAGCTGAGTGATTTTGGAACAACCCGAGAAGACGTTGAAGACCTAACCTCGGGCCAGAGATTTTCACGGTATAAGGCCCCTGAAGTTTGTGAGTGTAAGTAAATCCTTATATTATTATAGTTTTCCAAGTCAATGCAATTACGTAAAGCACAAAACAAACATTAATCGGCAGTTGAATAGCGAGACAATTGATTTGGCGTGCCGAATCGTTTGACCCGCCACAAAGAACAATTGCGCAAGAAGGGTTTCTATTCACACAGCTGATGCATGACACTATTTTTTTGTTTTTACTTGAAAAGGTGAGCAAATGACTGTACAAGGAACTGTCTGCTATCCCAATATAAGCCATAAAGTCGATTTTTCAACGTACTTCAAGGATGGTGTAGTCAGTTTTAGCAGTAAAAATAACTCGCATTGAGCACTTAAATAACTATGTCCGCCATTGAACTGGACTGCCAAATATATGAACGATTAGGGGAATGCCTTAAGTTTTCCAACAGAGTTGGGCCGCAATGCGAGGTTAGTATCGTGTGTAATCCTATGCTTTTGCATGTGTTTTGTTCTGAAACGAAATACTAAATTCGCATTTACCTTGGCCGTTTTTTTCAAAGTGAGACGCCCGGATAACGTTTATTGGTAAATCGTTTATACCGATACATTATGCTTTATATGTAGAATCACAGAGGTTATCAACAACGTATAAAAGCCTCTTTTCTCAAGAATTACGTAACGGTATGTCTCTAGCACATAGAGCAAAATATTTTACTTATATTAAAAAATGAGATTTTTCAACTTTCGAGGATCTTGTTATCGTCGTATCCTAGTATTTTATAGTACACAATGTGTTATAACTATAAATTTATGTCCAACATGACTCTCACTTCACAAGACTATAGAGCAAAATCGGCAACCTCTAAATTTGTCTATTTTAGTGGGGACCAGTTACAACCGAAGTGCAGATATTTACAGTCTCTGCGCATCATTCTGGGAAGTCTTTACCCGTACAGAGTATCCGCGATCTTTCCAACCCATTGAAGGCTGTCCCACAATGGTACAGGAATTACTTAGGCGGTATGTTGCAACATTTTCGGCATAATAATCTTAAACACGTAAAATTCTCAATGGAGAGCATGAGACAACCTACACCATAGGTTTCTTCTAAAGCATGAAGGAACTTACCATTTAGAAGAAGAGGATGCAATCACTGGAACAAAAGTTTTATTTGCCTGACTTTATCTGCGCATGAACCTCGTTGTGACTTAAAAGAACCTTGATATCAAAAAA